CGGGATAAGGGTTATACATATAAGGAAAGTGTCATGCAACATGGCAAAGCCCTAAAAAGTGAAAAAAAAAACGTGCATGAGAGGAAGTGATTTTATCACACAATCATGATCTAACGTGCGGATGGTCCCTAAGGGTCTAGTATTGGACTAGCCCTTACTAATGCTCTCTCACAAGCATTGGACTTGTGTGGAGTCGAGAGAGGGGCCACAACTAGCGTTGGACTAATAAACAAATAAATAAAATGAACACATTCAAAAGACATGCAATTAAGCACATAAGTACACATAGGGTCAAATAAAGTAAAAATAAGGGATCGAGTGTACCTCCCTTGAGTTGGGGCCCTAATGGAGTGAAATTACGTATTTACCCTCCAAAATAAAAGAAAAAGTCAAGGCATCACAAATAGTAAAATATAAGCAAAAAAATAAATTAATCAACAAATCACCGAATCCCTCCCAATTTGCAACTTAAATGTAATCAAATAGTGCATAGTCACAAAGAAGGTAAATTATCAATCAAAAATTCCAAAAAATAGAAACTACTAAGGGCCCAATAGCAAACATTAACCAATCATTCAAATCCAATTAAAATATTTTGGGAACTTCAAAGGTCCATAAGTAATGAAAAGGTCAAGTAATGATTCAAATTGCGATTTACTCTAGGACCTAATTGCAAGAAATTCGAGCATAATTGGGCCTTTGTAGCATTGCTTCAAAATCACAAGGACCAAAGTGTAATTTTTGAAAGCTATTTTGCATGCAAGTTCCATGCAAAGCTTCTGCAACTCTTCGGCTATGTAGTTTCTGCAATTTCCTACTCATTCGGCCGCAAAAATCATTCATGCAAATGACCCAAACACATCCTCACTCATTCAAACACAAAATGCAAAGACTTGTAAACAAAGGTAGGGGGAAGATCTAGTAGGCTTTCGAACTCAAGAAATACAACAAAACGATCCGGAAAAAACGTGCTAACATTTGAAGAACAAAAGCTGCTGCAACTTTCTCAATTTCTTATTCAAGCAACCAGGATCAGTGCTATTCATTTTATCATGAGCAAGGTGATTTATACACAATCAAATCATTGTAATGAAGTAGATAAATGCATCCAAACCGAAATGCAAGGCTTCAACCCATGCTCGAACACAATTATCTATTTCTATTAAGTTCACTAAAGCAACTTAACTATGAAGAATGCTGCAAAGATGCCAAGGAAGGGACCTGCAATGAACTTGTTCATGGTATACCAATTGAAAGACATACAAAACACAAACCTCAATCAAACCCGAAAATCTGTAACCAAAGTGAAAGCCTGCTGCCGTTCGTTTCCAATGCAGATTTCGGACCCAAGCACACAACTTTGATCGAACTTTTCAACCAAAAATCATAACTTTAAACTAAGCAACAAAACACATAGCTACCACAATCCAAACAAACAAAAACTTCAAAGGAAATTATGTAAGACTTTCATACAAAATGGTTCGAAGACTTTCCTATTCACAATAATACTTTCTGCAATTCTGGTGCAGCCAAGATACACGAAGATGAAACTTGGTTTGGACATGCATGTGGTGTATCAAATGAACAACAAATCCCAGATTTCAATCAAATTATAAGTTTCAGCAACAACCAGAACAAGACTCCAACATCCGAACAGGCCAAGACAGATTCAAAAAGGAAATGAAACAGGCCACCTTTCTTCACAACCTATCCAGCATTTCAAACGTACAGGCCATGTAAAGGTCTTTTCTTTTCAAAGCTGGGGTCTTGCTACTAAAATATAGCCTAGGAACGAAATATAATCTACACTAGACAAATTTCAGACCCTAACATACCCATCTTACACAATGACAGCAAGAAGGCAACATCTTTGAGCTATAACCATAAACCACCATCGCAACTCTTAACCACATTCATCGGCTCATAGTTCAACATAGTTTCATGATTTATTAATAAAATTATCTATAGGAAAGGGAAAGGAACCTTACAGTGCTATTTTCTGATGGATTTTTGGCAGCAAAAACTTGAGTAGCAGCTCCTTTCCTTCTTTTCTGTTTGGCCAGAAATCTCCAAGCTTTCGTCCAATTGCAACTCCCTCTTACTTAGCTGTCGGTCCTTTTTTTTTTCACTCTCCCGCTGTCACTCTAATTGTCCAGCCGTCCACCGCCCTTTTTCTTTCATCAGCCCTCATCCCAGATTTTCTCTCTTCTTTTTCTATCCCTTTTGCTGTCTTTCTTTTTCCGCCGTCATACACACCCTCACAGCTATCCTACCTCTCTTCTCTTAAACCCTCTTACCTTTTTATATGGCATCATAAACTAAACCCTCTCAACCATGGTTTGGATGAAGCCATCGGTATTTGGGGAACCATCCGATGGTTCTTGATGCCCAAACCGTTGAGGTTTCTAGATTAAGGCAGATGGCTTGTACTAGGATAATCTAACGGAGCTAAAAACCCAAGGAAAAACAGCCGGGAAAAGTAGCTGTAATTCATTTCCGTTCTAGCCGAAACCAAAAATTTAAAATAAAATGGCGCGCGTGTCACACACATGCGCGTGAACCTCTTTTTTTTTAATTTAGGTAAACAAAAAATAAGCTCTCATAAAATTGAATTTAAAAGAAATAATGAAAATTAAGAGACTAATGAGCGAAAATGAATAATAAATGTATCGAATCAATAAAAATGAAAATAATAACAAATAAAGCTAAATTAAAAAGATTTGGTATCTAAATGCTAAAAAATCTAAAATAAAACCATGAGATTGATAAAATAAAAATAGATAAAAATAAAATAAAATAATTTAAAAATTTGGTGTCTACACAAGCCAGGAAATCTACTCTGCTAGTGGGCCAAGCAACCAAGTCTACTCTCCCAGAAGGCATGCTAGGAAAGGAACGCCTATTAGATCCTCTCTCATGTAATCAGTCGCCAAAATTTATTTTCTTGATATTTAGGCCATCCAAGCGATTGTTTAAGGTTCATGAGTTGCTTTATTATCGTAAAGCATTTACATGCGAGGTTTTTTATGAGTAATAGCTATTTGTTTTTGCTTAGAGGTTTGGTATTATGGCAAAAACTTTTGTTGTGTTTTTTATGTTTCTAAAGTCCATAACCTTACCATGATGTTTGTGGTAGCTATATGCTGGTTTCATTTATTAATAGAGAATATCAGCATTATCTAACAACATAAAAGATGCGTTGAGCTAGCCATCTATAAATTCCTCGCTTTTCAGTGTTTCGTTAACAATGAAAACATTTTTTTACTTTTAGTGGGTTAGCTAATAAATAGTTAAATACATCAAATGTGCACTAACAATTAAAGATAAAAAAGATTTATTGTTGCCTAAAAGTTATTGGAATGCGAAATAATCAACGACTAACGATTAACAAGGAGTGTGTTTGGATAGAAGATTATTTAAAATAATCACTTTAGCACTTTTTTTTAATATGTGATGTATGTAAAGATAATAAAATAATGATTAAAAATATATTTATAATGCAAGCAAACGTATTCGTCATTATGTATAGACCTGTACAAACTAAGAATGAAATTGAAGTATGTAAACATGTAAGTCAATGTGCCAAGAATGAAATTGAAGTATGTAAACATACAAGTCAATGTGCATGTCCACTTGATTGCATAATAGGGATGGGCACATGTCGGATACCCGCCCCGTATGCTATTTGGCTAATTCGATCCGCAATCTAACCCTTATTTGCCTCGTATATCTGTGGTACTCGCTGAGATAAGGTTGGGTCAACCAGTACTTGCCCTGCCTGGCTAATGATTTATTTTTTTAAAAAAATAATATATACTAATTTAATTTTATGTTTTACATATTCGTCTAAGATTTAATGAAGATTTTTTCTCAAAAAAATCTCCCATCAAGAAACAAACGCGGGAAGAGAATACAATAAAAAGGAAAAAATTAAAAGAATTCAAAATCAATGAAAATTTGAAATAAATAGTACCTTTTTAAATATATATTCCATGTTAATTAAACTCTTTTCTAAAAAATAAAAGATCATGATCTCTATAAATGAATCTTGTAAACAAACTATTCTCTCCCATATTTGTAATGCAATTTTTCAATGAAATTGCTTATTTAGCATTGAAAATATTATTTCGTAGTACGTGTATAAAAATAAAAAAAATTATATATATATATATATACTCCCCCAGTTCCTTATTAGATCTCCTAATCCATTGTTTCTTTTTATCTGTCATTTTATGATATCAAGAAAGCATTTATGAACTTTTTTCCAAATTTACCCTTGCTTACCCTTTCATCTTTCTTGAATCGGAACTCTAAATAATTAAATGCAGTATTTGTAGCATTAACAATAGAAGTAGTTGAAGAGATGAAGAATTAAATTGAAATGTGTCTATAAATTGGGATTGACCAACTCCATTACATAGTCATCTAAAGAAAATGGAGATCGATAAAGATATCAATGTTTCAAATTCTATAAAATTGTCCAACTCAAGTGTAGTGTTCAGTGGAGAAAAAAAGACAGTTACTCTAAATTTTGACTTGAATGTACCTGCAGATCGTGGGTTCGACTTGAACAAATTGCCAGACGAAGGAGGTGAAGCTTTTGCAAAAGAAGAATTTCAACAAGTGGTTAGGATCATGTTAAAAGTTTATCTTCCCAAATTCTATTAACTCAAGGCCAATAAGACATGTCTCCTTCAAAGTCCTTTCTTGTTCGGCTTTATTTTGCTTCATATGATGGCCTACTATTATTTTACTTGATGTCATGGCTGCTTACACCATATAATAGGTAAAACTAAAATGGACAAGCAAAAAAAAAATTACTGGCTTTTACTTGATGTCATGGCTACTTATCACATGAATTGCAATTCCCACAGAAAAATACCAAAAACAAAGCATAGAGACACCAGAGAAGCATCAAATACGTGCTACTTTGAACCAAAACCCCAGAAAAAACAAAACAGCATATTTAGTCATTAATCATTACAAAATTAACTTGGCTATCAAAAACTTAAATAATCAAGAACTTCTTGCACTAATGTGGGATTACATTTCATCCGAGTAGGGAGTTGGCCATATCTTTCTAGCACTACTTTCTTACTATGTGGGATCTTATATTTGTTGGAACCTTTTGCCTTCATGATTTCTATCATGCATGTCTGAAGTGTTAAGAATATTTTGTCAGATTCCACAGTGGAGAAAGCTTCAAATGACTTCACAACAGCATTAACAAGCTCATCAACTGTTGTAGGTGCTTCCTTGTGTGTTAATGACTGAATTGCACGAAAGAATCCAAGATCTAAGACATTTAAATCTGGAGAATTTGCTGGTTGATACATCAAACGAATATCAAACCCATCTTCTGTAGCTGCTCGACAAAAATTAGCATCATCAATGCCAATGTGAGTTCTTGCATTATCTTGTTGAATAAATATTGGCTGCCTTAGATCATCTCTTGGCCACTTTGCTTTGATGGCAGGTAACACCTTTTCAATTAGAAACGATTTTATAACTTCTTTCTTTATCGAAGTTATTGGTTTTGTTTCTAATGTACCTACAGATCTATTAACACTAGTTCTTTTGGCTGGCTCTTGAGTGACGAATGGGAAGATACCAACTTTTCCAGAGAAGATTTCAGTCCTTTGTGTATCAAATCTTGGACGACTTATAGCAGCTAAGAACATGACTTTTGGAATGAAATTTTTACTTTGACAAGTGCGTAATGGCTCTTCCTCATCTGGTAGCAAGTAATAGTTTTCAGACCTCTTTGACATATAGAACCATTTTTCATCGATATGAATAATGTTATGCATACCTATGAAATAGGGGTGCAAACAAGCTGAGCTCGAGTCAAGCTTTGGCTAATCGAGCCAAGCTCGAGTTAATTTTGTGAAGCTCGAACTCGAGCTCGAACTCAAAATATCAAGCTCGAGCTCGAGCTTAAAAAATAAAAAAATAATTATTATTATTTTATTTTTAAAAAATAAAAAAATTATTTATTTTTAAAAATGAATAAAACAATAATTTTTTAACAAATAATAAAATATTAGGGATATATATGTAATTTTACTATTAAAATAAAAATAAAAAAAATATATATATATAATTGAGCTCGCGCGAGCTTAATGTTTTTAAGCTCGAGATCGACTTAATTAGCTCGAGCTCAAGCTCGAGATAAACTTAATTAGCTCGAGCTCGAGACGAGCTCGTATTCGAGCCGCTCGCGATCGGCTCGCGAGCGGCTCGATTCACGAAACACCCCTACTATGAAAGTTGGATCATGTGATATGCTGCAACTTTCTAGCATGGACAAACAAAATTGCAGTCAACATCTTTTGTTTTCTTCCTTCAAATATGGTTTTATGCCATTTGGGCGACGCCATATAACTCCAATCTTTAGAAGTCTAAACAATGAGGTCTGATTTGTGTCTAAAGCGGAAGCTAAAGATCGAATAGATGTCCTCTTTGATAAGGGGGTCTCACGAAATCCAACCATGTCAATCTGAACTCTTTTTTGTCCACAATTTTTTTGTCTTCCTATGACACACATCACCACTGTCCTTTGCTCGTTTCCAAATACGTTGAATAGTTCTCAATGAAACTGAATAAGATGATGCCAATGTGAAGAGAGTACCCTTTTTCACTTTTCCAGCAACACTTTGTTTCAACAAAGCACAATGTATTCTTTTGCGTTCTTCATTGGTCAAAGTTCTAAGTTTCCTTGTGCGACCACTACTTTGTGCTTCTACCACTTCGAAATTTGGATTGTCATCACTGACGTTGTTATCTAGTTAAGAATAAAACAAAAATAAGAAGTTACTGGTACATATAGGTAAATAGGAGTCAATAATATGGAAAGAAATTGTAATACCAGTATTCAAATTTGGTTCCGCCAATTCTATCACTTCGAGATTTGCTTCTGTTTCATCTTCTGCACATGGCTCTTTGTTCAAGTCAAAAAGGAATTGACTTGAGGATATCTCAGTTGTTGGAGGACTTTGATTAAGGTTGAAGTCAAGAACAAAACCTTCTTCAATAATGCAATTAAGATCTGGCAATTGATATTACAATTCCTCTGTAGCAGCTTCTTGAGCCTCTTCACTATGAATGTTAGAATTTGCCCATGAATTATTTAAATCGATTTCAAGTACAGGCATCTGATATCTTTGCCTTGAACCCATGGATAAAGTATGTTGTTTTGAATAGATTTAACATCCAACATACTTATAATGTCAAAGTCTTTTGTTTTTTGGTGGGAATTAATATTCAAATTTTGAGATCTATGAAAACAAATTTGGTGGGAACTATTCAGATTTTCAGATTTAATCTATTGATTGAAAAATGTGAGAGAGAGTAAATGACCGGTAGTATTAATTAGGTATAGTTGAAGAGAGATAAAGGGTAATTTTGAGAAGTAAAGTAAAACTTTTGTTGACTTTTAGAAAATAACCAACTTTCTTAATCTAAGAGAATTAGTTATTCAGGCTATCTAATGAGGAACGGAGGGAGTATATGCGGAGCGGGATGAATACTCGCGAGTTTTAAATTATGTGATCTTAACCTGCCCTGCATCTAAACAAGTATTTGACCCTCTCTTGATCCGATCAAATAATACGAATCGAATTTGCATCAGATCAAATCGGATATTACGAATTTTTGGATTAACGTGTATTTTTGCCTACCCCTACCAACATTAAAAGGAAGTGAAATAGAGAGGCACGCTGCAGTTAGAGTAGTTGGCATGTAACTTGAAAATGGTTGAACACAATCAATATCCATTGGGACTTATGATTTATGACTCTTGTACAGCTTCGAATTCCAAGCCTCATTGAAGTGCATGATTGAATAATTACAGCTACCAGCCATTGAAATTTATTTCTTTGGTCGTTGGACTTCTGCAAATGAGTACAAATCTAGTTATGCTAAGAATATATTTCAGTTGCCATAATGGTGGCAAACATTATGACCATTGAATGCCCCTTGTGGTAATTTTATTGGCTCGATTAGATAAGGGTCATAAGTTTCTTATACAATTTGATTTTTTTTTCATCAAAAAATGAATTTCATTAACAAATCGTTATAATTAGAAATGGTAAAATAAATATGCACTAGAAATAATAGATCTATAATTTAATAGATATAAAGATATGAAAAATTATGAACAGATCTTAAAAACACAAAGAAATTTCAAAGTCTTCTAATAAAGCGCTATGACCCCCTTTTGTACATGTTGCCAGTAGATTTGTTAATCAATTGCTTTAATCTTTAATAATGATGATAAAATTTATTAAAATAGATCAAAGATCTAAAAATTTTTGATCTGATAATCAAATTTAAAATAAATTCAAATCTAACAACGAAATAAGAAAAAATTATACAAAAATCTCACTAAGAACAAAGGAATAATAAATTTTCACTAGAAACCTTTAAGAGAAAAGCAAACCCTCACTAAAAAAATTTTAAAACAAACCTTATTAAAAAACAAAGTAAAAACAAATGATACTCTCCCTCTCTTCGAATAGAAAGATCTTTTGAGGAGAAAAGAAAATGTAGAAAGAAATTGAGGAAGAGGAGATGTGATGCTGATTAAGTACCCGTAGGTTGGAATTTTGACCCTTCAATAGGCCTAGCTTGTATTGGTACCTGTGGGGAGAAAATCTTCAAAACCTTAATTAATGGATAAAACCTCGTAGTCAATCCAGCTGCCAAGCAATTAATGGCTCATGGCTAAATTCTTCTGATTCACACGCTAAAATGGGATCAAATGCTTGTTCTCATGTGTACCTAGTCCGTAACTAGCTGTGATGTTTGACCTCCTAGATCCAACAAGTACAGAGTTCTTTGGATCTCGTCTTTTTTTTCCCCTGCTTTTACTAGGAATTCGGGTTTGTTTGAATTGTGTTTTATTTGAAATATTTTTACTGTAGCACTTTTTATGATGTGATGTGTGTGAGATAAAAAAGTAATTGAAAAGATAAAAAGGTATATTGAAAATTGTAATGATGATGTAAGCAGATTTACTAGGAATTCGGGTTTGTTTGAATTGTGTTTTATTTGAAATATTTTTACTGTAGCACTTTTTATGATTTGATGTGTGTGAGATAAAAAAGTAATTGAAAAGATAAAAAGGTATATTGAAAATTGTAATGATGATGTAAGCAGATAAAATTGAGAAAATAAAACACAATCCAAACAAAAGATCTCATGGAGGAATTGAAGGGCGGCATAATGAATTCATTATACCAAAAAAAAAAAAATAGTGAAAATTTTACCCAAAAAAAAACCAACAAAAAAAAGGAGTGAAGCATGGTACAATTTAACACGATAAATTATAGTACCTAGTTAGTAGTAATAGTTAGAATGAGGTAATACACCACAATATTCTAAAATATTACACAAACGAGGCTGGAATTCATTTTTCTACAAGTTATTAGTCTCCATGTATGTATCATCATACTAATCATACCAATAACTTACTACTAATAACTTGCTTAAGCACAGCACTAACAATATACCACCATCTAATTCAGATTTAAGCTAAAAGCCAGAAATTCTTCTGCCATCTGGTGCTGATGAGGTACCCACCCATGCCTTTGCTTTGCTTCCTCACTCCAATTGTTAAGCAGTCCACTGCATTGATGCATTGTTCCACAAACTCCTCTGAGCTGCTGGTTCCACAGAGGCTGCAACAGTTGAAATAAGACTCAAATGGTACTAATTTCCTAGTGAAAAACCAATGACCAATTGGACCCCAAAAGACTCTTTGGTGTGTCTGAGTGTAATTTAGTTTTTTCCCTGTTAAATGCCTATTATCGAAAAAAATTGGACCCCAAAAGAAGTAAAAGCATTATTTTTGTTGTAACAACATTTAGGATGAAAATTGTCACATACATTTAAAACTTTTTACACATGTATGGAAGAATGAAATGGGATCTAGTCAAGAGACATGAATGATAAATTGGCTTTTTAAGTAAGTAATAATACCCACCAATTAAGCAGCACTGAAGAAGGCTTTTTCTGACCCAAGACTAGGACAGACACCTCCAGTTTCTTCACTTGGCTCATCACTGTGGCCAGTTTTGGTCCTTGAATCACAAGTGCCTCCACTTCAACCTGAGTAGTTGGGGCAGTAGAGATGAAATTAATGTAGCAAGGATATTGGACACCAAAAAAAAAATGGCACAGATCCGAAAACTGTCTCCATTTTGCCCATAAAGTTGCAACAATGGAAAATGACAAAAAGAGAAAGCATTTTCAGAAATGATTATCTCTCCCAACATGCTAAAGTGAACAAAATCATGACTCATTTCCTTTTTGTTCTGGAAAAACTGGCAAAAGAGAAACAAGTAAAGGGGAAAAAAAGAAAAAGAAAAATCAGAACATATTCTGTTTTTTTTTTGAGTGAAGGCAAACAAGGAAAAATCATGAGTCACTCTCATTTGGTCAGAAAAAAAAAAAAACCAAAAAGCAAGACACTAAAGAATGACATAAAAACACAGAAAAACATCCCACAACATAAAACCTTTTTAAAAAAAAAAAAACCGTACTCATCAGCCTTAGTTTGTCACTTAATCAGCAATCTAGACATGAATTTATAAACTCATACAAATGAGCAAGCTTTAGTAATGTTATTATTAAATCACTTACCTCAGGCTTGAAAGCCTGAAAATATCAGAAACTAAACTAGAAGCAACAACCAAGACATCGATTTATGTATACATAAATCTCTTACCTCAGGCTTGCAAGCTTTACAAAGGGATCCCAGAGAACTGGCAAGATAAGGAGAGCAAGAAGAAGAAGATGACTCAGAAGT